TTAGTTGCGCGCTTAAACTTACTGACGACATAAAATTGAGAATACAAACCAAAAGTGTAACTTTATTGTCTTAAGAATATACGATAATGATTTTTAAATGCAAACCAAAATGTCGTTTAAAATAAAAAAGTGGATTTGATATTAGTATAATGCAAGGGACATCAAATGTATCCTAACCCTTATTTATCATACGACCAAAAAAAAAATGAAATTTGAAACTGCATGCTCATTCATATGCGCGCTTAAACATAATGACGGCATAAAATTGACAATACAAATCAAAAGTGTAACTTTATTGTCTTAAGAATATAAGATAATGATTTTTAAATGCAAACCAAAATGTCGTTTAAAATAAAAAAGTGAATTTGATATTAGTATAATGCAAGGGACATCAAATGTATCATAACCCTTATTTATCATACGACCAAAAAAAAAAATGAAATTTGAAATCGCATGCTCATTCATATGCGCGCTTAAACATACTGACGGCATAAAATTGACAATACGAACCAAAAGTGTAACTTTATTGTCTTAAGAATATAAGATAATGATTTTTAAATGCAAACCAAAATGTCGTTTAAAATAAAAAAGTGGATTTGATATTAGTATAATGCAAGGGACATCAAATGTATCATTACCCTTATTTTTCAACTGAGTGTGTATCATAATCCTTATTTATCAATTGAGTAACTAATATGACACGTGAGTTGATAAAATGATCTTGTGAATTATTAACTGAGTAATTGATGTGACACGTGAATTAATAAAATGATCTTATAAATTTAGTTGGTAACATGGACTTATTGTAATGATAAACTGAATTTCTGAGCGTAATTTAAGTTGGAAGTGAATTGAGGCTTATTGGGTCTAGTTACCAAATTGTCAAGCCAAACCATATAAATTTAAGAGGTAAATGTGTAAAATACCTTTTGTGCTATCTACCTTAAGATAGTTACTCCTTTTCCTTTCTTAAAAGAGGAAAGACGTAACATGAATCTTGTTTAAGAAAGGACAAAAATTTTTAGAGAAATGCTGCACATCACGATTTTCATAACTCGAAAATCACGAATGCAATTCTAGCAACATTAGATAATGACACGTGGACACAAGGCATGCAAGTAAAATCACAAAAAAAATGTCAGTATTTTTTGAGTTTTGTTACAATAAAAAATTTTCAAAAACAGTCATATTTAATTTTTTTATTACAATAAAAAATTTTCATATAAAATCACATTTCAACTCAAATTAAAAATTTAAATCAACAAACTAAACGGTCTTTCTTTTTGTTTGACTCGCTTACTCCCCCGGCCCGCCTTGCACACAAAATCAAAACCATGGCCACCTCACAAATGCCGAAAGTGTTTCCAGCAAAAAGACATGCGAGCAAGAGAATCCTTGCCATTGTCTAAACTGGGTCATGGCCACTACTTTGTTATTGGGCCTTCTTAATTTTCATCCTTTGTTATCTAGGCCAAGGAGACCCAGATATGAGGAAATGGGATAAACATTTGGGGAACCAAAATCCCGGCAAAAATAAGGAATTAAGTGTCCGTTTGTTTTCATTTTAAAAAACGGTTTTACGTTTTTTGAGGATAAAAAATGAAAACGGACAGACAAAACGCGTTTGGTGCAACAATTTTCTAAAACTTAAAAACAAAAACGTTTTTGTCCTTTTCTGAAAATCTGAAAACGATTTAATATCGTTTTCATTTTCTCTGTTTTCCTTTTCTCTCTCTTCTCTCTGAATTTTTTTTTTGTCCTTGACTAGTGTGAACTCTTCGAGGATAAAAAATGAAAACAGACTGATCTCTCTCTCTCTTCTTCCCATCTATCCCCCACGATCCTCTTTCTCTCTTCCCTAATCTTCAGACATCTCTCTTTCGCTCTGGCTCTCTTCTCTCTCTCTCTCTCTCTCTCTCCTCTCCCCACGTTTCTCTCTCTTCCCCGAACTTAGGACGCCGTTCTCGGACTCGTGACTCCGATCTCTTGAGGAAAGACGAAGACACTAATTGGGAGTACTCATATCTGGTTCTTGTTAGAGTTTTCGATCTCGCCGATCTCTGATCTCGCGAGTGAAGACAAAGAAGCCGATCTCGTCGCTGTTATTTTTGCTCCTTCTCCCTCATCTGAATCGTGCCAGAGAACCGGCGAACTCGACTTAGTTATCATCCACGCAGTGAAGGCTCTCGTTGTGCTTTATCTCTCCTCCCTCCGCTCTGTTCTCTCTCGAAAATCTGCATCAATCCAATGTGGATGACGACAGCTAGTGGTTCGTGCTCCACTGAAGATTGTCGCGAGTCGGAGATGTGCAAGTTTTCACATAATCACGGCCGCGAAGGTGGCAGCGCGATTCCCTGGGCTCGCCGGAGCTTGGTTGTGAAGTTGGCAGCTGGATTTGCCTGGGCTTGCCAGAGCTGGGATGTGGAGGTGGCGGCAGTGGATCTGATTTGCAGAGATGGAAAGAGCAAGTTTTTGGTAGTTTTTTTGTTATCATATCTGATTTGCAGGTCCTACGTTTGGTCCTACGTTTGTGATATTATATTGATTTGAGTTTGTGATTTTTGTTGATCTAATAATATTAAATATTATCTTTCCAAAAACCACCTGCCCTCTTCTTCTCCCTCTGCCCCCCCTCTTCTCCGATTTCCCATTTTCATTTTTCCCCTCCTCCCGCCTCGACCTCGCTGCCCCTAACCACCACCACAACCGCCTCCGATCATCCTCATCAGACTCCGCTGCCGCCCCTTCCTCCACCTCACCAGAGTTGGAACTTCCATAACCACCAACGTTTATGTGTACAACGTTTATCATGTATACACCGTTTATTTAATATATTTATTTAATATTATTATTTATTTAATATATTATTATTTTAAATATTATTACATGTTTTTAAAAATTAAACCACCAAACACAATTTCAGTTTTTTTAAAACTAAAAATAATCTCAGAATAAAACTACCAAACGTATTTTCAGAAATAATTTCAAAATGAAAATGAAAACGTTTTCGTTTTCACTTTCATACAAAAAATAAAATCATTTTGGAACGAATTCCAAACGCACCCTAAGAATCCCATAAACCACCAATTATTTCTGATCTAATATGGTGCGTGGCTCTTATATTCAATGGATAAATTAAAAATGAAAAAAAAAGCAGATATGTAAACTATTTTATAAGAAAAAATGAAAGAGCAGCAAACTCAAAGAAAGGAAGGAATACAATCGTCATTCTCTTAATAGAACAGAGATGGGATTCTTAGGGTGCGTTTGGAATTCGTTCCAAAATGATTTTGTTTTCTGTATGAAAGTGAAAACAAAAACGATTTCATTTTCATTTTGAAATTATTTCTGAAAATACGTTTGGTAGTTTTATTTTGAGATTATTTTTAGTTTTAAAAAAACTGAAATTGTGTTTGGTGGTTTAATTTTTAAAAATATGTAATAATAGATCTCTTCAGTCTTTAGGATGATTTTCTGTGTAAAAAATGTACAACTATGATTGTTTTCCTTTACCTGATTTTTCGATTGTGGCTTTGTGGGTCTCTCTCTCTTTCAATTATGGCTGTACGGGGTTTCAGTTGAAAATAATAGGATAAAAATGACATTTTAATTTTAGGGATTGCCTTGCACGTGACTTGCACTTGCGCATTACTAATTTGTAAAGTTCGACACATGAAAGGCTTGTTTTTTAGATGTTTTTGAGTTAGGTAATTTGAGTATAGATTTTGAGTTATAACTTGAGTTGAAATTATAATTTGAGTTTGTGTTTGGTTGTGTATATTTGAGTTATGGTTTGAGATAAGAATCTTTTTTGAGTTTGTGTTTGAGTAAGTCAAAACTTGAATTTATTTTTAGATAGTATTTTAATAAAAACTCAATGCTGATACAAAATTTTAATAGGATATATGGGTATAGTTTTATTCGTCTTTTCGTTGTCAACGCATAGAAAAAAAATCATCTCAATCAGAATTAAAACGAAAAAGTTATAGAATATTTAAGAATAGAAAAAAATATTGTTCATTAACTTGAGTTCGAGTTTCTGAACCCGAATTTTAGTTACAAACTCGAGTTTAAATTTAAAAGAACATGAACTCGAATAAAGTTATAACTCGAGTTGCATTTTTTGAGTTTTTCACTCAAAAATTAGCTCCCCCAACAGCCCCGAAGTTTTGTGAATAATAACGGGCATGTTCTTTTGTTCACAAAACTCAAAAAAAGACAACTCTAGTTCCAATTTTATTCAAGTTCACGTTCTTTTAAGTTTCAACTTTATTCAACTTTACTCAACTTTATTCAAGTTACAACTTCAACTCAAGTTATAACTCAAATTCAACTCAAAAACTACACTCAAGTTACACTCTAAAAGAACAACCTTAACATTTCTCAAATTTTTAGTTTAGAAACCAATCGTCAAACAAATAAAGTCGAGGAAGTCCCATGCAAAAGAGTTAAATTCCATAATATGCGCACTTTATTCGATCTACATTTTAACCGAGTTTAAAGTGTTTAACCCTTGAAATCATTATAAACAGGATGGAGCTAAATAGTTGCACATTTCGAAGTTCAAAAAAACTTGAAACGCCATTAACCCTTACTAGAAAAAAAGAATGATAAATGTCTTTCTGTGTTGTTCAGTTTATACACGAAAAAGGAAAAAAGAAGAGAAAAAAAAAACTTTCATTATCCATATACATAATGTGCAATTACCATCTCGCCCAAGTAGTAATTTTATATTACCCTGCATTTGGCGCTCTGTTTTTTATCTTGATTTATGTGAAAAACGGCCACTCTGTTTTTTATCTTGATTTATGTAAAAAACGCCGCGGGCTCCACATATAAATTTTTTACCATTCCAATATCACCCTAGACCAACAAAATTATGACATCTTTCTTTTTCATCGGCCTGGATTTTGCCTCACCTAATATTAACCAAACATTTTCCAAAAGAGTAACTAAAATTAAATTGTCATCCCACAGCAAAGAAAAGATTTGAGGACTTAAAAGGAAAAATAATTATTTTGAACAAACTGAGGAAATTCCAACAAAATGCTAAGACAAGGGAAAAATATATATGTATCTCCGTTACAAAGAGAGAAAAAAATGACAAAATTGGAATTGTTCAATTAAATTAGCGTGCAAGAGACAAGTTCAGTCCTCTTCATCGACGACCTTGGTGCCTAACCCCTTCAATCCTTCCGGTGGGATCTCTGTGACAGTGACTAGAGAATAGAACTCTTCCTTGGCATCCTCTTCATCATTTCTCTTTCGCGCAATGCGGACACGAACCCTCCTTGGCACGCTTCTGATTCCACGACTCCATATGTGCTTGTTGAGCTTAACATCCACTCGGACATCGGTCGTGCACATAGCCTTTTGGGCAAACTTTCTGATTTCCTTTATGGCATTTGGAGCCTTCTTTTTAAATGTGCTGCAAGCATGGAAGTCAAAACATGCAAGGATTCAATACAACAAAACAACGAGACCAACAATGGGAGTAGGTGAGAAATAAACAGCAGAAACAGAAACACGGTAAAAGAACCAAAAAAAAAAAAAAAGTTTTGCTTTTCCTATGGTAACTAAGAGAAAGAGCAAAAACTAACAACACTTCAACGAGGAAAACAATTATCAACGCACAAATACGAGAAAATTGATACTACCTCAGCTTCTTGACTATGAAAATAGAAAACAAAAGCACTAAAGCAGAAAAAAGATAACTTAAACTACGCTTATTTCCATTTTGACTGATTCTCATGGGTTCGAACTAAATTTCCAAAGCTGTATGCAACTGCAAATCACATAAAAACCCATAGCTTACACAAAGACCTCTTCAACTATCTTAATGACAAAACCTTCAAAATTGAGTGTTGATCTGTTTCTGCAATGGAACTTGTCAGAATATCTGATAAGTTTAATTGAGGAGAATGACATCGATCACGCCACATCAGAGATCTATCACAATGATTAAGTGCATCATCTATAATACACCCACAAATGAAGAGTACTTTAGATAATATCTTATTTCATTGTTCGACTTTCATTTTAAGGTATACAATGCAATGCACCTAAATTTCATGTGTAAGTGCCAAGACCTAATCCACAACGATGAACGTAAAGTAAATTATGCAACCGTTCCAAACGACAACAAATTGAATCTACACCGACAACATCAACCTTAGTGATTACAATGACAGACCAGTTATGCATGTCCTCCCAACCATCATCGGTTAACAATAGATTCTGATTAAAACAAAAACAAAACAAACTAAGAAAGCAACAAAAGACGTAATCCTAGACCGATTTCCCCAAATCTCTAGAATATGTGACTATACATAACAAAGGCAATTATGCCCATTCCATATCTCATCAACCCAAAAAGATCATCTAACAGAATAGTCTACAAGAACATCCTTAAAGCCTAATCCATCCATAAAACTATCTTCTGTTACAAGTAAATCAATAACTGACATTGTGAGTAATAGAGATTTTCCCCCTATATAAATCCTTCTAGAAAAACATTTCGAATTTAAACATGACCCCACTTCAATTTGATACTCTTTTCATTTCCTTGAAAACTTATTAGAATCTACTTTACACAAAGAACTTGAAATTCAAAGATACGTTTTTTTTCCCCTGAAACCTTCACAGATACTGATTCACCAAGCAAATAACTAAACTTTAGTCATTCAAATCACAAACACCAAAACCAAAATGGGAAAGAAATAGAAATGGAACAAACGGAATCAAATCTTAGTTTCTTTGAACAATACAGAAACTTAAGAACTAAATTAAACTCCTTCGAAATTAATCCAAACACATTTTGGAAATACTCAAAGCCCTAAACACTAAATTTAGTCCAATCAGAGACTTTCTTTCGCTGAAACTTCGATCAATTGTTATTTACACGAATAAATAACTAAAATTTGAGTATTTTCGGTCACTTGGATATGAAATAGAACCAAAATCGACAAACAAATCCTCATTTTGAATAAAAATTACGAAACTTGAGAAGACCTAAATTAAGCTCCATAAAAAAGCATCTGAATGAAGAGAGAGAGAGAGAGAGAGAGAGAGAGAGAGAGAGAGAGACAGAGACAGAGAGCGTACCATCCGTGCAAGCGTTTATGGAGATTGATTGTGTACTCCCTGGTGACGACCTCCTCCTTCCGTCCTTTGTTCGCCTTGTCCACCATTGTCGACGACCTCCGAAGCTTCTCTCTCTAAAGTTCTCTGATCGGCTGCGAAGGAACGAAACCCTAGAGTCTCTCACGATCGATCTTGATATGTGGGCGGGCTCTCAGGGGTTTTAGCACTTTTACCATCCAAATGTTTTTGGGTTTCGATAACTGCCCCAGAATGTTTAAATTTTTTGCACTTTATTCCCATGTCTTGCAAAATCACTGCAATCTGCCCCATTTTAATAAATTGGGGAATAGAAAAGCCAACAACCATCTCATTTAAGGATGGAAAACCACATCTCCAATAAAAAATCGTCAAATATTAATTCCAAACCCTAATACAAAACACTCAAATCTCTTTAATAAATCTCAAACGCGACATAAAACCTAGGATTGTTCAAAAAAATCACAAAACCGACACCGACCGCTGGCCGACTAAAAAACTAACCGAATAAAACTTATCGGAAGCGAAACCGACTGTCGACGGTCGGTAAACCTAACCGACCATCACACATGGGCAGTCAGTTGTTGGTTCTAGTGGCCGACCGAACCAATCGACCACAATTATACTTAAAAAAAAATAGAGTTTTGTACAAGTAGAGGTTCAAACTTTTAACATATAAGGAAGAAAAGCATCAACTAACCATTGAACCACATTGTCCTCATTGATATCATTGTGGTCTCAATAATATTTATTAATATTTTACACTTTTCAGACTTTGACAACTAACAACTGAAGTTGCGAGAGTCCCACATGGAGAATAGATGAAAAAAATACTACCTTAACTACTCTATATAACGGTCCTTTCTTGGCCGCACTTTTAATATTTTATATGCCTTATCTTTGAATGGACTTCAACAAAAGTTTTTTTCTCTTAATTTTGACTATATTAATAATTGAAATTGATGAAAAAATATATAGTTTAAAATTGTTTAATAAACTTCAGTTTTGGTGGGAACACGGCCGAAAACCGACCATGGTTCGGTTGGTCAACCAACCAAAGGCTCTCCTCTTCAGTTCGATTTCAATTTCAATTTTTTTAAAACTGACGTGGTCGGTTTAGTCACCAAATTGACCAAAATCGTCGATTTTAAACCAATGAACAGTCCTAATAAAAACAAAGGTAAAAATAAGCCATATTGCAATGACGTTTGGCCTTAAACACTCTATACACCATTGGGTTGGTGCATTTTTTGAATATCTCTCCTTCTTCTAGTCTCAATGTACACTTAAACTTCAATACTTTATGCCCCCACTTTTAGGATTCCTACTTGGTTATATTATGTAATTTAATTTTTTTAATGGAAAATGTTATTTATATTAATTAAAGTAGTACAATGTAAATGACCATATTGTACAAGGCCTATCCCTCAACTGAGACCAATTCTATTAGTACAATCTAATTATGAACAATGGGTAAAATGTAAGTTACAGTTCTAACACTAAGAATGGGCTCACATAAGGCTCTTTTTGACCAAAACTTTACGATCGATAGAAACTCATTGAGAGCCGCAAAATGTAGCTCAAAGGCCACTACTAGACTCTATATTAAAGAACAAAATAAAAACTGGTAAGGTGGGGAGACCACCTCTAATATTATAATTGAAAGCCAATAAAACAACGAAAACACACTAATCCTAAATGACGAAAATATTACCATTTTTATTTGACAAACACAGTAGTTTGAAAATTAAGTTTATACTTTGAGTAAAATTGGATGAGGTCATTCATAATGTACCGCAAGTGTCCAAAGTCACGGAGGAGTATAAGATATCACCAACAATCTTTCTTGTTTTTCAGTAGCAAAACCATAGCCAACAAAAGTAACATCTATTAAGTTTTATATGACTTATTAAAGTCCAGTAATTCATATGTTTTAATTTGATATGAAAATAGGAATTCCTCTCATTGGAAGTGGCATTCCTCTGATTCACCCTGAGAATAGGCTTCACAATTGGGGCCCAGCTCAGCTTAGCTCTGTCTCATGGGACCAAGGACCTGCTAGGCCTACGTTGTTCATGGGCCTACTGGGCTCAAGTAACTCTCGTGCCAGGACCCAGCGTCGGAGCCCGTAATGGACCAAGCAATTTATCTCCGGATCAGATCCTAATCATCCGTTCATTGAAAGGACCTTTTTTTTTTTTCCTTCCTTTAACTTGAAACTGCGTTCTTACCTTACTTGTCATGGGCCCCACTTTCTCTCTCAATGCATGCAAATTAATATCATTAGCCTCACCAAATAAATAATAAATTACTAAAATAAAATAACGAAAACAAAACCCAGTTCCATTACAATTTTACAGAACCAAATCTAGTTCCGAGAACAAGAAGAAGAAAATGGGTGGGTTCTCTTGGCCTTCTCAATCAGAGGTAATTATTTACCAACTCTTTTTATTTATTTATTTATTATTTTTATCCCATTAATCAATCATTTATTAATGCAGGGCTTTCTTCTCCCTTATCATCACAATCTGTGTTTCCATTTCGTCTCTTCTATATGTTTATATATATCTATATATATATATTTATATATATATATATATTCATATATAAATGTGCTTTCCGGATTCATTGTATTTGATTTTGGTCTCATTTCCTTGATGGGTTTTGTTTGGTTTACCTTCATTGGCTTTATTTCCGAAGTTTTTATATGTGCTTGGTATGTCCGAGTGGTATTTGATTATTTTCCTCAGGCTATTATGTTGTTAGCTTTTTGTAATTTGATCTTGATTTGACATTAAAATTTATGTTTTTATATGAATGTACATGTTGATTCTATTCGAATTGCAAATGTACTTGTTATGAATGTTGCAGTTGAATGAGGTGAGAGAAATAGTTTCAAAGATGGCTGGGAGAGGCACTGAAGAAGTCAGAGTTGTGGCATCTCCTTATAGAATTTGCCCATTAGGAGCTCATATTGATCATCAGGTTTGTTTTGAAAATTCAGTTTTCTATTATCTAATTTTCATTTGTAGACATTAGTATTTACTTGATCTCAAATCCAACATTTGAACTTTGTTTGTTTAATGTGAGATTGAACGTGCTTTGTTGTTCAATAATATTTTTATACCTTGAAGGAAAATTATAGTTTCCGATTTTGAGTAAGATTTCTTTTTGATTACCAATGGTGATGAGGAGCAAGATATAGATAATACCGAATTTAAAGTCAAGGTTATTTATTATTGTCACCTAGAGTTTTGTTAAGTTTCCTAATACCATTATTTGGTTTTTGTTTTGTTTTTTGTTTTTTTTTGGCTCCTCTTTTAAATAGGTCCTAGTGATTGTTATTTCATTTTGAGTAATGATATTGATTATTTGGAATTTCTCACCATTGTTCTTTTTTTCTCTCTAAATTCTAAATTTCTCCTCTTCCCCACTCTTTATCTCTATTTTCCTCTCTCTTCATTCTTGCCGTGTCAATCTCGGCACTGAGTTGTCATATATTTTATCTTCAAAATTTGCCCGAATCAGTAGTTAACAAGGCTTTTTTACACTTTTATTAATTATTAATTAATTTTTGCAGGGTGGGACGGTTTCAGCCATGACCATTAATAAGGGAATACTTCTGGGATTTGTTCCTTCCGGTGACAGTCAGGTAGCATCTACAAGTATTCACCTACCAATCATCATTATCTCCGGGGAGATTACATATGAAAGTTTCAGAAAGCCATGTGTTTTTCTAGGGAAGATCATCAAATAGTTGAAAGTTATTTATGTAATTCAATTCTATTAGGAAAAATAAAATGGTGCTAAATAAGGTGTAGGATTTGGACAAAGAAAGCTACTTTTAACGGTCTAAAATCTAACAAAAATTAGGAAACCTTTGATGGAATGTGAAAATAGCACAAAAAGTTCTTAAAAGACATCCAGTGATCACTGATGAACAGAACAAGAGATGGATCAACTTTGGTTAAAGCAATTTAGAATGAAGGCCAATGGCGCTCTAGTGAATAATTAACGGTAGAACAAAGTCCGTCTTTCCTATCCTAAAAGCCTAAGGCCAGAATGGAGGACAGAGTAATTTAGTGCTTGTTTGGTAAAAGGGGTTCAAATCTCGTTTCAACTGGTTCTACTACATCGTTTTTTCTCACAAAAATTTGAATTATAGTTCAAACCATCTAGTTCGAACCCATAAACCAAACGGGCACTTAGAGAAACAGTTTTGATAAGTTTGTGCCACTTCACAGGTATGTGAAAATCTGGGCACAGAGGAATGTGTATGGTAGTTGAAATGATCAAGAAGCCGGCCTTAAATCAGGGTGGGAGTATGCTAGAATCAGAGGCAAATTTGCTTACTCGCTAGCTACATTCATTGCCATGGGTGATGATCACCACACTAACATAACAGAGGTCAAGTGGGTCTCAAACTGGAGAATTATAATAACTTAGAGGGAAACAAATAAAAGTTGATGTTTCTCAATTTATGTATGATCATCTGTCTTTCTTCTCTTGTTGAATTGTGTGGGTGAATTATGATAAGAGACGTGTGTATTATTGCATAGATAATTACTTCCAATGCTACATTTCCAGTTGCTTATAATTGAACATCTTCTTGTAGGTTGTGTTACGCTCGGGTCAGTTTAAAGGAGAAGTAAGGTTCAGGTACAGAGTTCCTAATCTGAGCTAAAAGTTAGTCCACTTTCTAACAGATTACCTAGCTTTTTGGAACAATGGTATAAAACAACAGTCTTAATGTGCATGGGACTTTTTCTCTGTAGAGAACTTGATTTTGTTCAAAATTTTTGCATTTGTAGTGTTGACGAAGCTCAGGACTCTGGACACGCCAACGCGATGAACAATAAGATTGATGCAAATGATTCTTCCAAAATACGCGATGAATGTAATTGGGGAAATTATCCAAGAGGAGCCCTTTATGCATTGCAGAGAAAGGGAAACCACCTTTCCCAGGTTAAGATTTCACTTTTGTTGATCTTTGATTAAATTATATAATGTGGCGTTATTAATCAAATTAGTTGTTAAGAAATCTGTAAAAGATATATATTTAATGTGCTTAGTACCCTCTTTCTTTTATTTCTTTTTCTTCCATTAGTGAAGGATGTTATGTTTTAATACTTTTTTTTCCAAAATAATATTAGCACTTTGGAAAAGACCGTCCAAGATTCTTTCCTCTCTCCTTTTAAAATAAGAACTTGCTTTAGAAACTTCTTTCCCCTTTCCCTCTTTAACCAATGGTTTTCTGGTCAAGATTCTTTTTCCAAAACAATATTAACACTTTGAAAAAATGTTTCTCAGACACGTTTCTTTGATGATTCTTATGCAGATAATACATGATCTAATAAAACCTTTTTCCATGTTTTGTAAAATCATATTTTTTAACTTTAATTGTCAGATCATTTGCTGCACCTGTTGCAGGGTCTCATAGGACACATTTGCGGTTCTGAGGGTCTCGACTGCTCAGGCCTTAGTTCTTCTGCTGCCGTAAGTTGTCACACCCTATAATAACCAAAAGGAAAAACAAAAACAAAAACAAAAAAAAAAGAAGAAAAAACCTTGGTTTTCAGATAATCCAGCGGTCATATAAAGTTTTAAGAGTTGCGTTTATGTTTTCTTAATCTTTTCCTTTTCCTTTTCCTTTTCCTTTTCTTTTTCTTTTTATTTTTTCAGCATCCGACATTTATTTTTACAGTTAATGTTTGACAGGTTGGAGTTGCTTGCCTGTTGGCTTTGGAAAATGCAAACAATTTAATGGTGACTCCGGAGGAAAATATCGAGTATGATCGGTATGTTTGTCTAACATTTGAGGCATAATTATCTAGTATCAATAATTTAACATTGAACTTTGAAATATCGAGTATGGTGCTTGAACCATTCTCTTTGAAGCATAAAGATGGTCCTTCTATTTTATGATACGTTGAATTCATGTTCAACTAACTATTAATATGGTGTCAAACCTTGTAAAATGTTAGTTTTTTGTTTTGTTTTGTTTTTTGTTTTTTGTTTTTTTTTTTAATGTGCAGGTTAATTGAAAATGAGTATTTGGGTCTGAAGAACGGCATATTGGATCAATCTGCCATATTACTTTCAAAGTATGGCTGTCTTTTGTGCATGAACTGCAAGGTACTATAACTATTGCTATTACTAAAACTTGATCTTTGCATATCTTATGTTCTAATTTAGTTACAAGCGGCATGTGTTCTCATGACTCTCGTTTTCTTTTGTAGACTAAAGAACATAAACTCATTAAGAATGAGAACATCGAGCCACATACAGCATACAAAATACTACTGGCATTTTCAGGATTGAAGCATGCTTTGACTAACAATCCTGGATATAACCGTCGAGTTTCGGAATGTCAAGAGGCCGCAAGAATTCTTACGCAGTATGATCAATTTCCCGTGTCTTTAGGCGGGGGGAGCTTTGTTTTCTTTGTTTCTATCCCTGAGTTGACGAGCATTTTTGTTTTATTTTCTTTCCCTTCTTCTTGACCAGTTACTCTAAAAGTATTAACGGCCAGTATGTACATGATTTTATGAAATCAAAATCACTGGTTTTTTTCTTCTTTTGGGGTTGGGGATGATATGACAATGAATATAGATAAATTAAGAGTTTGTTAGATTACTCCATCAATTGCTAAAATATATGGAAATTCTACTGATCACTTGCATGATTTAAAAGTCAAATACTCTCCCTTTTCTTTACTCAACTATATTTCTCTTCATGGTTATCTGCCTCGTGTTTAGAGTGTTAATGTGTTCTGCTCTACATTTTGTTATCTTCTTCGACAGTGCTTCGGGAGTTGGAAAAGTGGAGCCCCTTCTCTCTGATAGTGAGTTTTTTCACCTTACCATTCTCAAATACTTAGCTTAGAAGCTAAGCAAAAAAATAAAAATAAAAAGGCCTAAATTCTGAGTAAAAGCACTACTAGGCCTTAGAAGTTGCAGAAAGATGATAATAATTTCAGAAACTAATACTCTTAGATATTGATGACCTTTATTTCATATGTAGCTTGAGATATTGAAAGAAAAACAGCCTTTCATTCTAGTGAACAATTAACACTTTGCCAAGTGGCCAAGCGTAATAATTTTTAAAGAGGGTTATCTAACATTGTCTTTGTTTTCCTTTCTTTTGTTCTGAAAACAGTTGAACCCGAAGCCTATCAAAGACACAAGGTTAGTACTTCGGCATCATAAGCTTTTGCCTTCACAAGTTTACATTGGCAATACGTATCAGATTGATGCATGCCATCAGAAAGTTTAGATTGCACACTGTTCCAAGACCCGGAAACAATCCAGGCTCCATACCGAGCTTCAAATTCTAAATGTGAAGTCATCACGCCCTCCACCGAATTCTTAGTTGGCATTTTTTGGCGATGTGCCTAAGCATAAAAAGAAGTCGCGTTGTCTAAAAACTCTAGAAGCAAGCTTAGAATCATCAATCTACCATACACTAGAAGCCAAATGAAAACTCAACTTAATTTTGAAGAACAAAAATGGCTTCATCCTATTCAACCCATCAAAAGAATTAATCTTGTTATGCACTAAATGCCCAATGAGAACTTGAACATTAGACCATCACTCTCCCGTAGTTAGACCCTGATAAGATGGGGGCTTCTGTTCTTTATGATATTTCGGTACATAACTGAATTTTGTAGTATTTTAAGTGAGCTGAACATGATGGTTCATGACTCTCAATCTACTTTAAGAATGTTTACTAACTCAACATTTCCTATATTTCTGATCTCTATCCTACAGAACAAATTACAGCCCAATATTGCTAAACGGGCAGAGCATTATTTTTCGGAAAATCTGCGTGTCAACAAAGGTATGCCCCCC